GTGAGTGTGAGTGCACTTTGAAAAATGTCTTCAAACTAAACGCTTCAAATATGTGTGAAATAAGACTTTTCTTTGTTGTGAGGGCACTAGAAGCATGAGGATTGGTACAATTTAAAACATTTGTTTGAAAAAAGATGAAAAAATCTTGTTGATACTGAAGTATGTTTGAGGTACCACTTGAAGTTGTGGGAATTACCTTGAATTAAATCTTAGTTAGAAAAAAAGAGAAAAAAAAAGAAGAAGAGAAAGTTACATGCAATCCTAACTTTTGATACCAACTGTAGCCAAGATTTTACTATTTTCTCACATTCTTTATTTTTCAAAAAAAAAAAAGGGCAAGCACCCACCCTTAATATCTTTCAAAACAATTGTTTTTAGATTCCTTAAATAATAATTTGCATTTCCTTTTAAAGTTAATTTGTTCATTGTAAAATGTGAATTTAGCTTAATCACTTGAGACGCCTATTATACTTTATTGGGTCATTCGTTCCAATAATGTGACATATCTTTTGTCTTTAGGCTTTGAATATCGCAAGGAATATAATTTTTCTATTTCATCATGTTCATATTGTACATTTTCTACTGATGACCTTGTCTCAGATTCTTTGCAGTATTCATCGTCTACATGATTTGAACTACATTTGATATGATTCTTGGATCAACAAGATATTTAGGCGCCATGCCGACTCGGTCATATACCCGGTGTGATTTCTTTTTCTCCTTGTAGTAAAATCTGGACAGAATTTTTGAGAATTTCTTAAAAATTCACAATAAAGGTATTATCTCTAGCAAGTCAAGATTCGAGATCATTCTGAGATTTACCAAGAGTTTTAGCTGGGACAATTTTTTTGAGGAAGACCTCAAAAATTTCAACAAGTACTATTAGAAGTTCGATACTCAACTTTAAATATTCTCTAGCATCGCTTGAAGTTCAAAGTTGGCTTCAAAATCCCTAACATCGCTTGAAGTTCAACGCCAACTTTAAAATATCTAGCATTTTATGATGTAGCAAAAATAAAATCAGGATACGAGCCAATGACACCCCGTACAAATTCCCAATAAGACACGAGTCACAATAAACATGGTTGCTCACATGTGTCAAAGTGATCAGGAATTTTGTACATATTCTCTTTTAAAGAATCTTTTCTCAAGGTTTCTTGACTAAGTCGCTAGCTACGGAGACATTGTGTCTACTAATCGTTCCTTTTTAAGTACATGAACATGTGAAAGCATTGAAAGGATGACACTTTCAAGACAATCATTGAGCCATCCACCTCGTTATAATGGACAATCATCGAGCCATCCACCTCGTTACAGTGGACAATCATTGAACCATCCACCTCGTTACAATGGACTATCATCGAGCCATCCACCTCGTTACACTTGAAAATCTAGCCATCCACCTCATTACATTGGACAATCATCGAGCCATGCACCTCGTTACAGTGGAAATCATCGAGCAATCCACCTCATTACAGCTGGACAATCATCGAGTCATCCACCTCGTTACAGTGGACAATAATCAAGTCATCCACCTCGTTACAGTGGACAATCATCGAGCCATCCACCTTGTTACAGTGGATGATCATCGATTCATCCACCTTGTTACAGTGGAGAATCATCGCCTCATTCATCATTTGTATTTTCCATTTGCCGAAAGGGCCATTGCATTTTTTATTTGCCAAGAGGGCCATATCATTTTTCATTAGTCGAGATGGCCATTTTATTTTTCATTTGTCGAGTTGGCCATTGCATTTTTATTTTCCAAGAGGGCCATTGTATTTTTCATTTACCGAGAGGGCCATTGCATTTTTCATTTGCAAGGATGTGCACCCTATCTATTCCGTGTTCAATTCAGAGGAGACTTGCGTTGAAAGATATTTGGATTTAAGTGGTATTTATTCAGAGGTGAAGGATGTGCACCCTATCTATTCTACGTTGAAGTCGAAGGAGACTTGCGTTCAAATATATTTTTAAGCCGCATCTATTCGGTGGTGAAGGATTTGCACCCTATCTATTTCGCGTTCAAGTTGGAGGAGACTTGCATTGGCATATATTTCATTTAATTCACATCTATTCGGAGGTGAAGGATGTGCACCCAATCTATTCCGCGTTCAAGTCGGAGGAGACTTGCATTGAAAGATATTTGCATTTAAATCGCATCTATTAGGAGGTGAAGGATGTGCACCCTATCTATTCCACGTCGATGTTGCATGAGGGTGCCGTTGAAGGCTATTCATATTCTATTACCGGAAGTGGTAGTGTTCACATATATCCTACCAATGGATCATCTTCATTCGTCCAATCGAAGGACATACATTCACATCTTATAGATTGATCATATTAATTCGTCGTATCCAAGGACATACATTCACATTTTATAGATGGATCATCTTCATTCGTCCTACCGATGCACATACATTCAGATCCTACCGATAGATCATTTTTATTCATCCTACCGATGAACATTCATTTATATTATATCAATGTATCATCTTTATTCATCCTACCGATGGACATACATTCACATCCTACTGATGGATCAATTTTATTCGTCCTACCGTTGGACATACATATATATCATATTGATGGATCATATTCATTCATCCTACCGATGTACATACATTTATATCCTACCGAAGAATCATCGTCATTCATCATATCGTAAGGGATGCTACCTTTTTCTTTAATTTATCATCAATAATGAGTTTTATCTTTGTCTTTTCATGAACATCCAAGATGATGCATTCTCAATTGAGCCAGAGGTTTGGACTACGTCAACAAGGACGCATTACAACGTGGAACCTTTTGGAAACAAGTTGAGGACCTAATTTCACCACATTCCAGCCACACTTTTATATGAATGTCATGTGTTCGGCCAAAATCAGGTTTTTCAATTTTCTTTGTCCATGATTTCATTCATCAATCATATCCAACGAAAGGGACAACTGTTGACACCCAATTTTGACATAACATTTTCAAAATTCGTAACTTTTAAGTTTTATTTATTCAGTAGTTCAAAATACATTTTTTATAATTTTAAATAAGTTTATCAATATTTATCCTTATTTGTCAGAATTTAAGGATATTTATCAGTTAACTTTAATTACATAATTTTTTGTCATAGCCGTTCATTTTCATTAAATTATTAAATCATTATGTTCTCACTCAAAACATTATCCTGAACTCAGTAGTTCAACTCTCTAATCGGACTCTCTAAAAACTCTATTATTTGGGCATTTTACATTTTTCCAAAATTTGGCCCAAAAATCAACTTCGCAACCAACTCGGCGACATTAGTTTGGCTCGCCTAACACACTTGGCGAATCACCCTTCGTTCCCTGGCTCATTTTTGTGTGCAGAGGCTTCAGGTGTTTGAATCTCACTTGGATAACTCGATTGAGTCAGCCTTTCTCATTCGGCGTATTGCCGAATACCGCCTTAGTTCACCTTTTGAGAAATAAATCTTGTTGACACTCAATTTTGGCCTAATATTTTCAAAATTCGTAACTTAGATTTTAAGTTTTACTTATTTAATAGTTCAAAATATATTTTTTATAATTTTAAATAAGTTTATCGATATTTATCCTTATTTGTCAAAATTTCAGGATTTTCTATCAGTTAATTTTAGTTACATAATTTTTGTCATAGCCGTTCATTTTGATTAAATTATTTCTGTTAAATTGCATTTTTTTACATGGCATTGGTTACGTTCATTTTTTTTAATATTCATTTTATTCGTTACAATTTTTTAATATTCGTTTTGATATTTTCCACAGTTTAGAAATTCATTCAAATATAGATAAGATTTCATACACATATATTTTATTAACTAGAATCTCCCAAATCATCCACATTCTAACTCTTCTTCACGAACCATAGGCTATGACTTCCATGGCCGTCGACCAGCGTCCTTATGAGGCTTGTCAGCTTTAAGTAAAGGATTTTCCCCTATTGCATCCTAAAGTTCCTATACCAAATACGAAAGTACACGTAGAGAAGTCGTATATTAATATGATAGTAAACGAAAGTTAAACAATCAGAAACCATTTAGCAAAAATAAGTGGTGATAGTAGATGGAATTCCACGTATTAAATGGTATGTGGCGGAAGTGGATACAATGAATAGAATCAAAAATTTACAAAATGCACTCATAGGCAAATTCACCTACGATATCACAAATATGGAGGAACTGAGGCTGATTATACCAAAGCAATGTGACAATAAGGTGATTGTCAAAATGGGCTACTACGGAACAAACATATTCTCATTCGACTTACCAAGCAAGTTGATTTTATTAATCTGATCTCTAAACGAGCATTCTACATAATGTGTAAAGATGGATTTTCATACCTTATGTGTACTCTTATTTATGATGCTAGATTTAAGATGAACGAGGATACTACTAAAACTCTTGCTTGGATTTCTTTTCCCAATCTTTTACCTACGTACTTCATCAAAAGAATATTTATATTCTCTGGCATCGGCAGTAGGTAAACATGTACAACTCGGTCTAGCGACTATTAATAGAACTCGACCAAGTTGTGCAAGGGTTAAAGTGCAAGTGGACCTAGACAATGATTTTCCTAAGGATGTGATAATGGGTATTGAAGATTAATCTATTGGGGAGATGAGGTCAGATGAAGTACACATTCGTTTTTACTATGTTCCGAAATATTGTTATGAATGTAAGATGGAGGGTCATGACAAGTATGAGTGCAGAATATTAAATAATCTAAAGGGGGACGGGGTTGCTAAAGAGAGTGAAGATAAGGGGAAGGAAGTAGAGAAAGGAAAGGATATACATATAGAGAAAGAGGATAAAAAGCTAGAGAAGGAGGCTAACGCAAATATATCAGAAATACCTTGGATCCATTATTTTCAGAAAGGTAAAGCTAGAGTACTATCTAGTGGCAAGGTAGTTATAGACCCGGGTTCATGGAGTGTGGTGAAAGACAACAGATATGCAGTGTTGGTAGAAAAAAAATTAACATATATAATAGATAAATATTCGAATGCATATCCAACAAAAGATAATGGGAACAATCCAGTTATTACAAGCAATTCAAAAATTAGGAGACAAAAGGGTTCTAGTGAAGTCCATGTTGTTGAATCGGCTAAATTTTGGGTCCTTCAAGCTTTTGGACCTTCTCCAAAAAGCCAAACAAAGTCTCCAATTGATAATTCTTCAAGTGATGGTCCTGCACAACAAATCTATGATGATCAAGCACAACAATCAACTGATAGAAAGAAAGAAGAACAGGTTGTCAAACCAATTGTTGAGATAGCTAATGATGCAAATGGGTGTGACGATGATACAAATGTAGTAAGGAAGGCTGTTGCTAATGAAGCTAATGTATGTATGGGTGATAGAGATGCAGATGCAACATTACTAGCCCATGATGCAAACGTGACAGATGCAAACATTGACAAAATTATGGAAGATAATGTAAGAACATAATCAATCATGTGGACAATTATGAAATTTATTATACTGATAATAGTAGGCTATTGTTATTATCAATAATGAGCAAGGATTGGAGGTTCATAAAGAGAATTCTGAGTAGGGCTTAATGCTTATCCCTACACAAGTAGATGATATTCAAGTGGTATCTCCAAATAGGGTCTTGCATGATATTGTCACTCATAGCTTGGATTTAGAAAAGATTGGCAGTATAGAGGTGAGTCAAGCTACAGGGGTTCCAACCATAGATTTTTTAGATAAAGTTCAGGATAACCTTCCTGTTACAACAGATGTGTCTCCAAGATTACTTGAAAGCACAAAGAAATGGAAGAAGGAAACAGAAGAAATAAATCAATACATCAGAAAGCAGCCAAAGAGGAATAAACCAACCTTTAAATAATGAAAGCTCTAATTCGGAATATAAGGCCTGTATAATCCCAACAAGCCTTTCAAAGAGTACAAATGTTGAACAATTTTAAAAAATTCTCATTTATTGCCCTAGTGGAACCATTCCAACATGTCAGACACATTGACAAATACAGAAGGAGGTTAAAAATGCATGTAGTGAAAAATAATCGCAATGGAACGATTTGGTGTTTTGTTAATGTTGATGTTGATAATACATTAGTGAGGGATACAAAGAACCAACTGACACTTCGTTTAAAATATCAACAACAATCTCAATGGCTTTATGTTACTATAGTCTATCCTTAATGTAGTGATGAAGATCGACTAATGCTTTGAGAGGATATATATATCTACATGTATAAACTGTCCTTGGTTAATTGGTGGAGATTTTAATGTAGTCTTGAATTCTGAAGAAAAGATTAGGGGATTGCCTATTCAAGTTATTTATCGCAAAGATTTTAAGACTTGTATTCAAAGTTGTGATTTAGCTGAAATTCAATTCAAAGGTAGTGCATTCACATGGTGGAATGAAAGAATTGGTAATGATTTCATTTTTGAAAGATTAGATAGAATGTTTGCTAATCATCATATGCAAAATTGGATGAATTTCATGGAAGTTGAACATTTTCCAAGAACAGGCTCTGATCATGCTCCCATGTTGGTGAATATGGAAGAGAGGATGACTAGCCACAACAAATCTTTTAGATTTCTTAATTTTTGGACCAATCATGCTCAATTTAGTGAGGTAGTGAGGTAGAACTAGTTTGAAGATCTCAATAAGAATTTGTTATGGTCCTCTGATATGGATCTGGTTATGGGGTGTTGTAGTGTGAAATCAAATGTTTTCTTCCTACGACCTATGGTGCTGGTTTGTTAAGAGAGAACCTGCAATCTATTGAGTTTGAAGTACTCAAAGACTTGAATAATTTTCTGCTTATCTTTCCATTGAATTAAAATAACTTAAATACAACATTGATGGATTAACCACCCACCTAATAACAAGGAAATAACTTCCTACTACAACTGAAATGGGGAAGTGGAGGAATAACCTCCTTACTGCTAATAACTACTACAGAGAAAACCAACTGCTATAGGAAAAAAACTTTTACAGACGACCTACAGAGAAAACTAAAAAACATAAATAATAGTTGTTGATTTAATCAACTTTCTGATTAACGTTTCCATGCATAAAACTATTGGTAGACTAAAAAGGGTGCTAACATTACTCCCCCCTTCAAATCGCGCTTGTCCTCAAGCGCTAAGTGTGTAAAGTAATTCTTTTTCATCGTTAATGAAATCAATCTAGAACAATCTCTTGCACCGATGACCCCGAGTGAATAGTTCATCTCAATTGAAACAAAGTCTCTTAAGTCGTCTTTCATCCATTTCAGATCTGGACAATGTCTTCACAAATCTAGTGGGTTGTTGGGGTGAGAAATCTGTTGTCTTTGATTTACAGACATCTAAAATTGTGAACCAAGGGGTTGTTCCTTGCGTTCATAAAGTCTGAAAATACTCATAGCCGTAGCCAAATCTGGAGGATTATGCAACTCTACCTCATTGCTATATAATCAGCAAGACCACTAATGTAAAGTTCAATTTTTTGTGCTTGTGTAAGAGTACCAGCTCGTGAAACAAATTGCTCAAACTTTTCTTGGTAATCTGCCACAGATCCAATTTGGCATAACTTAGCTAATTCTCCCAACTTTTGACTTCTAATTGGTGGTCCAAAACGAAGGTTGCATTGACATTTGAACTCATCCCAAGTGTATTGAGGCATATCTTTCTCTAGTTGAAGAAACCAGAGTTGTGCAATTACTTCGAGATGAGAAGAAGTGAGTCCAATTTTTTCTTGTTCTATTGTATGTTGGTGGTGAAAGAAATGCTCACACCTATTCAGCCATCCCAAGGGGTCTTCGTGGCCATGAAATTATGGAAAATCCAACTTTGTATATTTAGGAATCATGGAATTCAAACCTGTTTTTGATCCCGAGATTGCAACCACTGCTTTACCTTTACAACCTCAATTGCGACTGCCATTTTCTGTTGCTTCAACATCTGCCTTTGAATTTTCTAAATCCTTCATCAGTGCATCTAAGCGAGCATTTATGGCTTCCTGCCTTGCTAAATTGTTTGCACACTCTTCTTGGAACAAAGTCAATAATTGTGCTAATTTTTGTTAGATTAAATCTCCCATAACCTGGCTCTGATATCAAGTTGTTATGGTCCCCTGATATGGATCTGGTTATGGAGCGTTGTAGTGTGAAATCAAATGTTTTCTTCCTACGAACTATGGCGCTGGTTCGTTAAGAGAGAGCCTGCGATCTGTTGAGTTTAAAGTACCCAAAGACTTGAATAATTTTCTGCTTATCTTTCCATTGAATTAAAATAACTTAAATACAACATTTGTGGATTAACCACCCACCTAATAACAAGGAAATAACTTCCTACTACAACTGAGAAAGTGGAGGAATAACCTCCTTACTGCTAATAACTACTATAGAGAAAACCAACTGCTATAGGAAAACACCTTTTACAGAGGACCTATAGAGAAAACTAAAAAACATAAATAATAGTTGTTGATTTAATCTACTTTCTGATTAACTTTTCCATGCATAAAACTGTTGGTAGACTAAAAGGGTGCTCACATAATATTTTCATCCTCTTTAAGAAGAATATTAAGAGAGTTATATCAGCTTTGGCCAAATGGAGTAAAGAAGTTTTTGGGGATATTTTCCAATAGTTAATAATAAGGGAGGAAATTGTAAAGTCAAAGAACAACTATTTGAGGAATTTCCTAGTGTTGAAATCAAAGAAGTACTTTGAGGGCATAAGCTGAATATAAGAAATATCCTCATTTTTAAGAGATTTTTTGGCAATAGAAGGTTGGTTATGAGTGATTTGAAAATGGCAATAGGAATACGACATTTTTCACAGCATTGTTAAAGGAAAAAGAAAAAATCTTCAAGTGAAGAGAATTAAAAATAGACAGGGTGACTGATTGGAGGATCTTAATGAGATAACTACTGAAGCAATTCAATTCTATGAGGCCCAATTCCATAAATAAAGAGATGATACTTCCTTTTCTTTATTGAGACATATTCCAAAATTTGTTATAGAAGAGGAAAATAATGCTTTATGCAAAGATCCAGATATGGAAGAAGTTGAAAATGTTGTTTTCAATCTTAATGGTAATAGTGAAGGAGGTCCGGATGGGTTAACTAGAAAGTTTTATCAAAGTTGCTGGGAGATTATAGGTCAAGATATTTTAAGAATGGTTAAAGAATTCTTTGCTAGTTTTTGCAGATTTGAGGCCTATAAGTTTGAGTAATTTCATCAATAAAATTCTACCCAAGGTTGTTCATGACAGGTTAGAAGTTTTATTGCCTAAAATTATATCCGCTAATCAATCTGGTTTTGCGAAAGTTGAAGCATCCTAGAAAATGTGAATTGTGACGCAAGAGATTATTACAGATATTAGGAAAAGAGGTAAACCAACTAATGTGGTTATTAAACTTGATATGGCTAAAGCTTATAACATAGTATCCTGGTTTTTCATGATGAAAGTGCTAAGGAAGATGGGGTTTTATGGCTAAAGCTTATAACATAGTATCCTGTTTTTTCATGATGAAAGTGCTAAGGAAGATGGGGTTTTCTGAGTTTGTGGTTGACTTGATATGGAGACTACATGCTAATAATTGGTATTCAGTCCTTTTAAATGGACAATCTCATGGTTTCTTTCATTCCACTCGAGGGGTTAAACAAGGATATCCTTTATCCCCGATTTTTTTTATTCTCTCTTCTAAAGTTTTGTCTAGATCTTTAAATTCTTTATTTAAAGATGATTTGTTTCAGGGTTATGTAATGCCTAAATGGAGCACCAATATAAATCATCTTGCATATGCAGATGATACTATTATTATTGCATCTGCTAACAGATATTCATTATCAAAGATTATGTTAGTCTTAAAGAAATATGAAGCCCAATCAGGTCAGATGATTAACAAAGAGAAAAGTGCTTATTATATGCATCAAAATGTAGCAACTGCTGATATCTTGTTGGTGGAGGAATGCACAAACTTTAGTAATGGACAGTTCCCGTTCAAGTATCTAAGGTGTCCTATTTCACATACCAGAAAGAGAAATCATAACTATTCTGAACTTATTGCTAGGGTCAAATCTAAACTACAAGCATGGAAAGGTAATATGCTCTCATATAGAGGAAAAGAAGTTCTAATTACTAGTGTTTTACAGAGTGTTACTATACATGCTCTCTCCGCTATTGTTCCTCCCATATGTCTTGAAAGAACTTCATAGAATTTTTTCTAAGTTCTTTTGGAGAAATAAAGTTACAGGGAAAAGTAACAATTGGGCTGCTTGGAGGAAAGTGTGTTTACTCAAACATGAGGGAGGACTTAACTTTAGATCTATGTTTGACATGTCTCAAGATTTGTATGCTAAACTTTGGTAGAAGTTTAGAACTCATAATTCAATATGGTCCAATTTCATGTGGAGCAAATATTGTAAGAAACAGATTCCTAGTTTGTCCAATGGAAAGGTGGATCTCAATTATGGAAAAACATGTTGATAAATAGGGACATTTTGGAACATTCCATCTAGTGGGAGCCAAGAGGAGGTACGTCTTCAGTTTGGTTTGAAAATTGGACCAATTTAGGTCCATTATTTTAAAAACCAATAGAGGTTCAGACTTTTCATAATTTAACAGACATTAGCAGCCTTATGAAGGAGAATGGTTGGGAATATGAGAATATGCAATTGCACTTTCCACAATATGTGCTGGATCATGTTAGAATCAACATGGATCAAATCAGACAATCTGATCTCAGTGACAAACCATGGTGGACTAAAACTAGTTCTGGTCAATTTTCAATCAAAAGTGCTTGGAATCTTATAAGAAAGAGAGAAGAGGAAACTGATTTTTACAAGAAAATTTGGGTCCAAGGTACTCCTTTTAAAATTTCTTTCTTGACTTGGAAGGTGTGGAAAGATATGATTCCTGTTGCCACTGTAATGGCACATTGGAACCCTAACATTTCACCTTTGTGTGATTGTTGTGAGATTCCAGACTGTGAGACAGCTGAACATTTATTCCTAAAGGGAGAGGTTGTAGACACTGTGTGGAAGTACTTTTCTGGTGCAGCTGGTCTCTTAGGCCCATTTGTGCAGGTAAAACAAGTTTTAATGAAATAGTGGGATGCTAAAGGCAATGCTAGACAAATATTGACTTTCCATGCTATCCCTAATGTTATTTTATGGTTCTTTTGGAGAAGGAGAAACACCATACTACATGAAGGTTCTTATTCTATTAATAGAGTAATATGGGATATTACTAGCACTATTAAAAACTTCATTAAATTGAAGTTTAAATATTCAGATATCCCTAAAGATTGGCCTCAGATAGTAGCCTTGCTGGTTAGGTTAAATCCGCCACCTCAGGGCTGGTGGAAATGCAACACAGATGGGGCGTCAAGAGGTAATCCATGCCCTAGTTCAATTGGTTTCTGTGTAAGAAATTCCTTTGGTGATATAGTTGGCGCAAAAGGATTGAAAATTTAAGATACAACCAATTTAGTGGTTGAGGCTATAGCTTTGAAGGAAGGTCTCAAATTTTGTGTGGAGAATGGATTTACACCAGCTATAACAGAATCTGATTCATTGTCAATGATCAATATCATTATTGGTGTTTGGAAGATACCTTGGAGTGTGACATTAGAGGTCAACTCCTTTACTAGGATGAGGACTTTGGGGACAACAAGAGTACAACATTCCTTAAGGGAGGCAAATATTCTTGCTGACTATTTTACTAATATATCCTTTGATGTTGCATGTAACTTTGAATTTAAGCATTTTAAGAAGATACCAGTAGCAGGCAGAAAAAGCATCAATGCAGAAAAGCTTGGCATTCCTGAGTTGAGGATAAGACAATCAAATTAAGAGTTGAATTCAATCTATATTCATTTATAGGCTCATTGATGTTAATAAGGATAGCTAGATGTTGGCTATTGAAGTTTCATCTCGCCTGAATTAAATTCATTTGGTTACTTATCATTTACCTGGTGAGAGCTTTGAGGTGTCTCGTTTAATAAAAAACTAGGGTGAGTGAACTTAATAGCATTTACTTCATCGAGAATGATTATTTAACGACTGAGTTGCCTAAAAAGTATATATTGATACCTGATTTTCATTAGTGCAGGGTCGTTTGGAGAGACATATGGTGGAATGGAAATAATGAATTACTTTGAAAGTTTAGATTTAACCTTGCAGAAAACAAATGATTAGTGTTTCTCTCATTGATCTAAATCTTGGTGGTGTTTCAATCAACCATATTTGGATTGAAAAAAAGGAACACTAAATCCACATGATTAATCGAGTAAATCTCAAATCGGATGTTGACAGCAAGAAATCAATTTATCTCTAGATCCATGGAATAGCAGCGACGACAATCTGCTTATCATAACAACTTAATTAGATTTAAAAATACCTGATCCGATACTATAATTAGATTTAATTATGAACCTAACGGGTGTACTGATTGGTCGTCCTACATCAGAGTTGTAATGGAACACACTGTTAGGATATGGTGTGGATGAATTTTGAGAGGGACCTAGGTACACGTCACCACCCACGGCACCACGACCAATTGAAACGATGTGGTAACTTGCATGAGGATCGAGTGCATTATCGTTGGTGTCTAGTACTAATTTATTGGTAGCAATAGGTAAGTCGATGGGATTTTGGAAAGTGAAAGTTGATGAAAAGGCAATAGAGGGAAGTAATAATAAAAATAGAGTAAAGAGGAGTAAATAGTTGGTCATGTTTGAGTTGTGTATTTGGATTATTGATTGTGAGTTGTGAGTACTTCTTTAGACTAATCGAGGCTTCTATATATAGGTTTAAATATGGATATTGATTTTTCTCTAAAGGTTATTCATTTGTACAAGTTTTGAACATTATATTATATAATATATAGTAATACTTATCTCTACCCTAATGTTAAATAAAGTTACAATACAGGCATACAACCCCTCAATTCATAAAATTTAATGGGTCATTCCTTCTAGTAGGGTGATCTTTAAATTTTAGCCTTTTAACATTTCAAGTAAAATAAATGATCAAAAATATATCTATAATCGAAATAATAAATAATTTTTCATTTGACATGATTTTATATTTTTATATTATAAAAAATATAACACAAATTAGGCTTTAAAAAGTATAGCAAATTATGTTGTTGAATTCCTACGTAATTAATGTCAAACAAAAGTTCAATTGAGAACTCAACCAAAAATTATGCAGTAATAAGAAGCATAACATATTCATATAGAACTTAATTTTGTCGAGCAGCAAAAAGTTCTGTAAATTTATGATGAGCGTATAAGATACTACATAACTTGTATGTCAAATTACTTAATTCCTACTAAACTTAAATAAATATGTTGATCCCCAATTTTCATTAAAAAATCCATAAAGACAAAAATTAAAGATCAAACATATATCATAATAAAAAATAATAACAACCCTAAAATAGGGACAATTGTCAAAATCTTCAAATTTAATATTCTTTTTGTTTCCACTTGCTGGTGTAAAGATTGGGAAGGTACATATGCTTTCTTCTTAATTTATTTAATTATTTATTGGCGGCTTTTAGTTATTCTTATTCACACGATGCTATTAGAATTAAGAGCTAGACTATAATTTTCCTACTAAACTTTCATTAAATGATATAAGTTATACATGAAAATATATTTTATAATTATGTTATTTATATGGTAATTACATGTTGATAATAAGTATTAGTAATACTTAATAACTCTGATAAAAATAATAGTAATTAATTAACATGCTATAGTAAATAATGCAAAATATCTTTATAATATCCGTATATATAAAAAAAATCGAATAATATAATTAAGATTTAAGCCGTCCAGCTGCTCATAAGCTAATTTAGTCAAGAGATTCATAGAGTTGGTTGAAACATCAACTCAATCAAAACTCTCTTTCTGTTTAAGCCAACACTGTTGATTTTAATTTAGGGTCTGTGATGTATGTTTTCTATGGATGCAGTTATATGGGAAGTTGAAAATGTGGGCTTTCATCATTGACTTTGATGTATGAATTATAAGTCCTTTCATTTGAAATGAGTTAAGGAAGAAGGGAGACCATGGATTAGATATAAGAAATTCTTTAGGTATAACAGGTTAAAGGAATTACTTGAGATAACTTGTATATACTTTTGTCTGAGAATTTGCGTAGCTTCTCTGCTCATAAGCTAATTTGTTAGATATATGTGAGCTTTTCTATTTCATGAATCTGTGTATATTCCGTTTCCCGTTTAGAGTTCTCTTTGAGTTCATGCTTTTTGATGTTCTATTTAAGTGCTTCAGTAACATCAGAACATTTGAAGATTTGTTTAATTGTGACAGTTGTTAAGGTTAAAGCAAGGAACTAACTCGATTTTACTGTTGTCACCTTCATTTTCAGGTCTAAATCCTAATAAATGGATTGAATTTAAGATGCTAGATCGAGCACCAGCTAGCCAAAATGTAACACCCCGTATCCCAAAAGAGGAAATAAACCAGATATTTGGTCCGTCGACTTGGTTGATGGTCACTGCTGTCAGTTATTTTCAGGGGCAGTTGCGTCTTTTCCTAATTAATTAGTTCTTATACTATGTTGTTTTGCCTATATTTAGAACCCCTATATAAACCTTTTTACCCCCCAAATTCACCCTATTTATTTCATTCTTCCAAATTCCCAAATGAAATCCAATCCCTCTCAAATATTCTCTCTCTCTTGAAGAAGAAGAAAAAGAAGAAGAAGATTTCACTTAGGGATTCAAGCTAAGGGTCAAATTCCTCCATTAAAAGCTTGAAATTTTTGGCCAAAAAACTTTTGAGTAGTGACTTGGGAATTCCTAGCCTAGTCCAGAATTGGACGAAATCTAAGTCAGGTGAGGTATAGGAAAATATGGTAGTGAATGAGAGAATTAATTATGAATTTGATTACATGAATAGATAGCATAGACATTTTGGAGCCCGTACGGCCTTACGACCTGTTCCCATCGTTATAGAAATGCCAACGGGGGAAAATTTGGGGCCGAAAAAACTTTTTCGTAATATTTAGATTTTTCCAACCTTGTCCAGATTTGGGAGAAATTGGATTCACCAAGGTGTAGGGCAATCTGGTATCAATCGGGTGGATCATTTATGGTTTTGATTGCATGAGTGATTAGATAACTTGTTAAGAAATTCGTATGACTTTATGAAATTGAATTTGGTTGAGTAGATCTCTGGGATTCGATCTTAGCATGAAGAGTATTTTCTGAGTGTCGTGGATTAGAAGTGTGTTGTGGAATGGGATTTTGGAATTCCTTCAAGTGACTCTCTGGTTTCGTTTATGCCGCCTTGGCGGGAGCTTGGCCGCTCTTGCGGGGCCGCTGCATTGGGATATGGGGCGCTGCGGCGGGTACGACGAGACTTAAAATCGAAGATGAAAGAAGAATAGCTCACTGGTTGAAGAATGCTTCTTTGGAGGGCACTTTGGTCGCTTTGGCGCCGCTGCTACAGTGGGGTGAGGGCCGCTGTGGCGGGCCAAATGCGATTTAATGTCATTAATAAACACCTAAACGACCTTATTTGGCACTTTTCGACTTTTGGAGCTAAGGAATGAACCCGAGGCGATTTCTACTCGTTTCTCACCATTCTCTAGGCTAAAGGTAATCTTTTCACTCCCCGAATCAATTTTCGATCCGTAAAATGTAATAGAATGGGTGAATATTGATGGGAGAAGATTTTGTTATAAATTTTATAGTCAAAACAACCCTAGTTTGGATGATTGGGATCATGGGTTTGATTTAGGGTTCATAGAATTGTTATAGTTTTGGGTAATTCGAGATTGTTTGTTGATTCCCGTGTTATTGTGATTATTTGTTGACGACGAACAAGCTGAACGAATCCAGAAAGGGAAGGATCAAGTTTCTTAGGGTTTCAAGCTTGTTTCGAGGTAAGTGATGGTTGTGATTCTATGATTGTGTCATGTATGCTTGTTCTTGCTTCATTATGATACTTGTATATGTATGAATGTTGCAATGTTAATCACACTTGTTGTAAATGATATAGATGAATAATCGTTACTATGAAATCATGACTTAATTGTATGATCTTGAGGATATACTTGTGTTTGTGATTGTGGTGAGTGAATGGGATCTGATTGCCACGTTCCAACATAGCTAACTTGGATCGGATTGCCACGTTCCGGCATAAATATTAGATCACATTGCTATGTTTCAGCATAAATATTGGATCGGATTGCCATGTTTCGGCATAATTATGGGATTGGATTGCCACGTTCCGGCATGTTAACTGTTTGGGCTTGGGTTCCATGAGAGCACCAATGATGTGATGATAAATGTGAAATGCGTTGTTGATTTTTCATGTTGATGATGTTGTGTATGTTGATATATATACATGTGATTATAATGTTGTTTGACTTGTTTATGTTGCACTAGTGGGATAGCCGCGTGATCCTACCAGTACACTGTGGTTGTGTACTGATACTGCACCTGCTCTTATTTTTGTTGAGTACATGGCATCTTCAAGCGGCAACTAGGAGACCTCACTTAAAAGTTCTGTGATCATTACTTTGAATTCAAGGGTGAGCCAATGCTTCCAGGCTGCCATGGGATTCTCTTACGTCTATGTCCATCATTTTCGGACTTAGATATTTGTTCTAGTTAGTTATTTAGTTCATTATTTGGGGATGTACCCCTTCTTGTTTAGACTTGGATCATTTGTTTAGATGTTTTGGTATATTGACTTTCAGATTCTAGGTTTATCTTCCACATTGTTAGTTATTTAAATCATTTTCGTAGTTTGAATGCCTTAGTTTTTGGTTTAGTTGCTTGTTTTGAGTTGTAGTAAGGGTTCTCCCACCAGAGGGTTAGTGTAGGTGCCAATCACTACGGTCTGGGTCGTGACAAAATGAGACTATTGTTTATGGTACAAGACAACTAATAAATCAATTGGATGTTCGTGTTTCATCAAATGTAGATGAACTAGTTTACATAGCAGAAGAGCAAAATGATTTGGACTTAAGCTTGATGCTATAACTGCAACAAAGTTTATGTGGATCTTCTTTGTAAGGGGTGTCTAAAAATATGCTAAGTTAGGAGTCTTTACTTTTATTTTATTTTCTATATGTTTGTCTGTTACAAAGGTGTCTAAAAGTGTGAGTCTATGTTTTTTT